TGTGTATTTATTTGTTTGTTTTATTTATTTATTTTTTTTGAGATAGCGTCTCACTCTGTCACCCAGGCTAGAGTACAATGGCATCATCATAGCTCACTGCAACCTCAAACTCAAGTGATCCTCCTGCCTCAGCTTCCGGAGTAGCTGTGACTACAGGTTCACACCACCGTACCCGGCTACTTTTTCTATTTTTAGTAGAAACGAGGTCTGGCTATGTTGCCCAGGCTGGTCTTGAACTCTTGGCCTCAGGCGATCCTCCTGCCTGGGCCTCCCAAAGTGCTGAGATTACAGGTGTGAGCAACTGTGCCAATCTAAAAAAATTTTTTTAAATTAGCCAGGCGTGGTGGTGTGCATCTGTAGTCCCAGCTATTCGGGAGACTGAGACAGGATGACCACTTGAGCCCAGGAGTTCAAGGCTGTAGTGAGGTACAATTGCACCACTGTACTCCAACCTGGGCAACAGAGCAAGACCCTGTCTGAAACAAAGAATCAACCAGTTCATTTTTTACTTTTTGTTATGGCCGTCTACTGAATTAATCTGTCAGTCTCTATTTAAAGATGTACTATACAGAAGTGAGGAATGAGGGAAGGGGCACAGGAAAAGTGAACATTTGAGTCATTTTCTAATTTATAGCTTAGCACTAGGGCTTGTTTTTAATGCAGAAAGCTGATTATGATACAAGGTCATATGAGGCACATATCTATATGAGGTTCACAGGAAGTGTTCTGGAAATGAGAATCCAGTTTTCATTGTGGGGAATGTGGTTGGGCATCATGAGGAGTAGTTTGTGAGCTGGGACTTCAAAATGCAAGGAAAATTCAGTAGGCATAAATGCGCAGTTTGGGGGCGTCTCTGGCTAGGAAATTACCTTAACAAAGGCATGGGGGTAGCGGAAACAATTGATTTGGTTAAAAGGCATACATATCCATGATTACATGTCCTGTTTTCAAGTTTAGAGTAACACTTTCCGGTTCCATTGTCCTTGTGATTAGATTAATCAACTTAGGCTTAATTATTAGTAATATTAATGGCCACCAATTACTAGATGCTTAATATGTAGCAGGCAGGTGCTTTGTTTATTTATATAATACAGTAATCCTGAAAAATAGGATTTATTATTCATTTTGCACATGAAAAATATAGTATCAGAAAAGTGAATTTGCCCAAGGTCGCACAGCAGGAAATTGGCAGCATCAGGATTTGAATCCAGGTCTGAGTCCACATTGTTAGCTGTAGTCTATCATCATCTCTTTCATTTAGTTAACGTAAAGCATTTTGAAGTACAGAGAAAGCACATGTATTGTTTTTAACGTCAGAAATGCAATTTAGACTCCCCCTACAGAGCTGATTTGGGAAAGATGGAATTGTTTCCACTGTTCGCAGGTATTCGCTGTAGTCTCCACCTAAAGAAACGTTCTTGAGATTTACAGTTTCTCTTCTGGGTCAACACTGGTTAAGATGGCAAAGTAGGTAAAAATTTACATAACTCTCATCCCTTAAACTCAGCAATAAAAACAAAAGAACTAAAAATTGAGAAAGACATTCTTATGAAACCAAAAAATGCTCAGATCTTCAAACCACAGATTTTGAGGAATGTCTCCTGGTTACAAAGAAATCTGAGCCCAACTAAAAAAGGTCCATCAGGACTGATACCTAGTTCTGATTTACAATAGGCATAGATTTTTTTTAATTTTTAAGGGGGTTCAGAAGACCTCTACCAATAGTTCTTAACTAGGGAGAGATGAGGACTAACGGCAATGGGTAGTCCATGGGAAAATCCGGGAACATTGGAACATAAGGTCTGTGAAGAAGAGAGTGTGTCTATTGTTGTACCATGTTGTTTCCCTAGTGTATACCACAATACCTGGTATGTAGTAGGTGCTTAGTAAATATTGGTGGAATGGGCAACCTCCTAGGATCCATTTCCATTGTCAAGAGCTAATGACAGGACAGCTGAGACTAAAGAAAACTGTGTAGCCATGCCATCTTTTAATTCTTTCTAACCCGGTTTACAAATCAGGGAAACCTATCTTATTATGATCTGTTTGCTCCCTGGAAGGAAATGGCTATAGTCTTCTAGATAGGCTAATTACCCATGGGTTATATGGCAGGAAGCCAGCAATTATAAAGAGGAGGTGTTCAGAAACAACATTCTAAAACCGAGACTGTCTGCTTACTCCCTACCCCCACTTTAGGGAGATGGGGTTCTTAACCAGATTTTAAACTGCTACTGTGCAAATTTGTGAAAGCATTCAAAACAGTGGAGGAGAATCTTGTAAGATAGGTCTTCTTAATCTTTTTGAAGGAATTGTCATCCCTTGTAAATTTTAGTACATTTTTCACAGCTGCCTTTCCCCAGAGAGTTGTATTTGATATATTGATATTTTCTTGAGTAGAATTACTTGAGAGATTAGAAAGTAGGGCCAGTCTGGCAAGGTAGTGAAGTTGGGGAAATTTACCTTAGTGCCCTTGAGTCTTTTTCTCTTCTCTATTTTATTCATTGATTTACATAAGATTTCTCACATTCAATCTCTCTTCTTCCCTGTCTCACTACAAAACTGATAATGACATCCAAGGCATTATAATGTAAAGAAGTTTAATAATAAGTATCATGGATTTCTGAGTCTTTAAAAATTCAGTGCTCCCAGATAATTACTAGCAGGGATGCAGATTCATCATACAATCATCAAAGATGTAGAGATCCAAACTTTGTTTAGGCACGTTAAGCCCAAAAATCAAAAACAAACAAAACCTAGAAGCAGCATTGGTGAGGACACATGGAAACAAGTACTGATGTGTACCTAATTAGAGGAAATGTAAATTGGTAGAACCATTTTGGAAGGCAATTTGTCAGAAAATTTCAATATCCTTAAAAGTATGCTTTTTTTTCTTTTTTTCTTTTTTTTTTGAATCAGGAGGTCTACTTTTTGGCATATGCCCAGTGAAAGCAATGAGATATATTCATCCTGATACTGTTTGTAGCAAAAAGTTAAAAACTCCCCAAATGTCCAAGAAAAGAAGATTAAGTAGAGAGATCTTAGTCTGTATCTTTTCCTCACTTTCATTATGCTTTTCAGTTCCTCTTATGCCTTTATCAGGGTCCCTTTTTTCACTGTCTTCATATCATATAATCTCTAAATTCTAACTTGAATTTACTTTTCTTATTATGTAAATTAAATTTGAAATGATTCAGTTTGGTCCTTTTTAATATTTTTGTGCTTTCTTTTATAAATTAATATATGCCATTGTAGAAATTTTAAAAAGTCATAAAAAGAAAGAAGAAAAACATCAGTCATAACTCCATCATTCAGGCAGTAATTGTTAGTGTTAAACTATTGTTAGTATAAACTATACCTGTTTATTCTAATCTGTCTTCTATTTTTTAACATAGGGTAGATCATGGTGTAGATTAAGCTCTTCATATTTTTATTTTATGCAGTATTTTGCCACATCATGTAAACATAAATGTCAACATGGAATTAATTGCATACATATATGTCATAATTTATTCAACCCTTCTCTATTCCAGTTGTTGGACACTTAGCTGGTTTGAAATTTTTTAACTGTTAGAAATAAGACTGCTATACATTTCATGCATAAAGCTATTTGGTTTGGACAAGGAGAGAGAAGATACCGTATTTTAAGTCCTATAAATGTATAATTAAATGGCTCTTTTCTATGATTGACATAATATGGACTTATATGGAAAGCAAAAGAGAATTAAAGAAGTTACAACAACATTCTACCTAGAAATATTTTTCTTTGTATTTATGCATAAATACTAAGAGAATTCTAATTTTATGTTCCCAGTCTTTCAAATTTGACTCTTACATTCCAGTGTCAGTCTTCTGGCTAGCATAGCCACACCTCTGTTATCCTTTTTTTGTGTTTTGTTTATTAAAGATAACGATGAACCTCTCTTGAGTGGATTTGGTGATGTATCCAAAGAATGTGCAGAAAAAATTCTTGAAACATGGGGAGAACTGCTGTCAAAATGGTAAGTTATGATAGAATAGTTCTCCTTTTCATCTGCAAATCTCATGGGTAGAGAATCTTACCTAACTATTAATATAATATTCAATTTTGGAACTAATAATAGAAGCCTGAGTATGAGGTTCGCATTCTATAATCTCTGTTTTTGAGGTTTATCAGGGTAGTAATGGAGGTTTGAAATCAATTTTTAGAATATAAGAAACCTAATAAATTCTCATTGCTATAGAAAATATTGACCCAAAAATGAAATTCATGAACAGAATAAACAAGGGAAGAGTCCTTTATATTGATGAGTTTAGGAACCACTGACTGGTTGAGATAAGACAACACACAATAATCAGAGATATTTAAAGGATGTTCACACAATGCTTAGAGCCATAGTAGAGACTCCAGGTAGGATTTTCTCTTATCTGTGGTAAGCACGTATAATGACAAAGTATCATAAACATGGTATATATTGCCTGCTTTATCAATTACGTTTTCTACTCACACATAAAATTCAGGAATTTCTCATCAGTTTAAGAATAGCTTGATAACAGTGTTAGGAAACAATATTCTGTAGGTCATTTTAATAGATTATATTAGGTATTTATTAGCATAACCAGAGATACTCTGGTAAGTCAGGTTTGTGAGACATTTACTTACTTTTCTGCCCGGATATGATGCTGGTAATATACTGGAAAAAGCTGAGCTTGAAAGTGATCCAAGTACTTCTCTATTTCTGGCATTCTGGTTATTGGGACTGTCATATAAACTCCCTGTGGGCCTGTTACTTTGGGGTTTGATTTTTCTGAGAAGTTTTAATTGTTGAAGTCTTTCACTGTAGTCTTAGTAAAGTTGTGTCTCAGCATTTTAAAAAATTATTTCATGCCGTTAAGGGATAGGACTACAAATGGGCTTTATCTGTTCGTAGCCCTCTCGCAATGTTTTACACTTTTGGCAAAACACTCTCTACATTGGGAAATGTCAAATGTGTACAGGAAAAAATGAAACCAAAGCATGGTTTTGTCTTTATATGGGTGGTTTTAATAATTGAACTCTGCAAAAGTCCCCAGGGTAATAGTTCTCTTGTATTTTTGATATTTCTTTACAATCAGGAGACAAAACTGCTGGTGCTCTTGTCACAATTATATTTTCAGTTCAGTGAATTTGGGGTGTTTGGGCTGCTATTGGCAGGAATTTCATGTGTATAAAAAGGTTTTTGCTCTAAAACAGAAATGTAATTGAGTCTTAACATGGTTACATAATATATTTCAAATCATTTAGATAAAGCAGTTAGACTCTGAATTAGATTTTATTAGATGAACTCAACCAGCATTTTATACAATGGCTTAGAATTTGTTTTTGCTATCAAGCTTTCTTATTCATGATGTTATTCATTTAATTAACATATGTCCTCCCATTCCCTCAAATATATTAACTGAGTTTCCATCTGTCTCTACCGTCTTCAGGGTGTTTAAACTGTTTTTGCTTGTTTTAGTCATATCTTCAGATATATAATATGATAGTCTCTCTTCAAATCATTTCATCTCATTTTTTCCCACTATGTGTGTTCTATGGATTGGAAGCATTGTAATATGGAATTTTAAAGCCTGGTAGAACCTACTTCAAATCTTCTCTCTGTACTTTCAAGCTGTATGTAGTCTTAGACAAGTCCCTTAAATCTTCTGAATCTGTTTCTTCATTTAGAAAACAGAAATCTATAAAATTACTTCAGGATAATTGTAGATTAAACATAATGGATGTCATGGTTGTAGTTGTAGTAATCGTAGTTAAGAACTAAAGAATTTACCATATGCTAGACACTGTACTAAATTATGTGCTCTATTTTAACTGTAACAAGCTTATGAACTAGTAGTACCCATTTTTACATATGAGGAAACTGGCTCATAGATTAAGCCATTCTAGTTAGTAAATGTCAGAGTTAGAATTTTTAACACGGTCAAGTCTGATCCCAAAGCTGGTTTATTTAATCATACATTAGATTTTAGTGACAGTATTAATAATAGTATCTTTGAGCTATAATTCTCCAACTTCATTTTCATGTGACTTTTAGTGGATAACAGAACTAAATGAACTAAATGTCAGTATAATATAGGATGCTGAGTTGGATTGATAAAGCTAATTTTATCAGTGATATGAAATCATTCAGAAAGTAATTTTACCAATGTAAATTAATCTGTGGTTAGCAAACTTTTTCTGTAAAAGGTCAAATAATAAATATTTTAGGCTTTGTGGGATAATAGTCTATTGCAACTACTCATCTCTACTGTTGTAGTACAAAATCATAGACACTCCTAAACAAATAAGCATGGCTATGTTTCAATAAATATTTACAAAAACAGGTGGTAGACCCAATTTGGCCCCACAGGCCATAGTGTACCAAGACTTGAATTAAGTAACAGAATGATTTTTTTCTTTCTGCTCTTAATAATCCAACTTTTATATAATTGTTTTTTTCTAAGCAAAGACAAAACTGTATTGAATTGTCTATAGCTCTTGCATTAGGGTTCCAGTGTCACAGAATTAGTAATTTTTAAATGTACTGTGCGGAATTCTCAGGGTATTCTGCAGACATTTTGAGAAAAATCTCAGACCCTTTTATACTTCAGTAGTGCTTACTTTGTATCAGTAACTTCTCCTTAAATCTGATAGTCATCAGAGCTGTTTTATGTCAGGATCCTGCTTTATTCACTGAGTAATGGTGGCTCTCAAATCATAAACCAGTTATATAACAGAGCATTATTAGTGTTGAGAGGTTGAGGACTCCCTCACTAATTTAATTGACCTCCCTGAACTTTTTTCTTCATCTGTAAAACTGGAGATACTACCATCTACCTTAGATGATGGTTGTGAGAATCAAATAAGATATTATATGCAAAACACTTTGTAAATTTATACCAACATTTCAGACAAGTTTTCCCCATTTTATACAGGAGATAAATGAAGCCCAAAGACTTTAGTAACTAGTTTTAATGTTACAGTAGTACAGTAGAAATGTTCTTAGCCGCCACAGATATTCAGAAAAGTTACATGAAGGAAAGTATAATAAAAACTGCTTAAAACATTCTTGGAATATTTTATTTTAACTTAGAATATATAGATATAAGATTCACATGTCAATTTTGATGTAGGGGCAAGTTCTTTTACTATGTATCCACTCTTTGGAATTTTGCTCTAGTCTTTTTTACATAACCCACAACCATAAAGCATTATCTATGATTTCTAGCTTTGCTTTTTAAAAAGAAAAAGAATAATAAATTAAAGATACTTAGGAAGCATTTTGCAGAATTTTTTGTGTAGATTTTTATTTTCTTCTACCCAATCTTGTATAGTTATCTTGGCCACATCTAAGTCAACAGCACTTTATTTTTTTTTCTTCACTAGTATGTTACCTTATCAAGTCTTTGTAAATCATTTAGTTTAGTTTTTATAAAAATAGCACTTATTTAGAGAATCTTCCTTTTATGAACTTATACGTTATGGTTTTATTTTTAGGCATCTCAATTTGAGTGTGAGACCAAAGCAGCTGTCATCTTTAGTAAGAAACGGTGTCCCTGAAGCTCTTCGGGGAGAAGTCTGGCAACTTCTAGCAGGCTGTCACAACAATGACCACTTGGTAGAAAAATACCGCATTCTCATCACAAAGGTAAGGGGATGATAATTCAGCTTCAGTATTAATCCTTTTAGAGATTTGCAATGAAAAGATCACTGTGGTTATTTGACTTCCAAGAATTTTTTTTAATTAAGAATAGAAGTGTCATACTTCTGGCTCAAAGATGTTTTTTCTGTTGCACAAAGGAGAAAGCATAGATTTTCTTCCTTGATTGACTTCACCTCAAAAGCAAAGGATGTCTTCTAGCCCATTGTGTATCCAAATATTTTTCTTTTTTTGAGACAGAGTCTCACTGTGTTGCCTGGGCTAGATAGAGTGAGTGCCGTGGCATCATC